GTATTAAATACTTGATCTTTGAACTATGTGCCCAGAAGCATTTAATTCTAGCTCTCCATTTTCCTTGGGTTCATGAACTCACACCTCCACCCGCCCCTGTCCATACATAGACCATTCACACAATAACACCGACTCCTATGATTTGGATCACACAATCGACACGATATAACTGAAGAGCCCGGAAGCATAGAACTCATAATGTGATAAGCAACACGTGCATAGACACGGTAATCCAATCCCAGTATTTCATTGCTATCCTCTCAACACCGAGGCTTTATTCGCTTATGTAAATTGTCTGTAACGGCATAATAGCATCTCCACTGCTGAAATGATTCTGAAGACAGAAGGAACGATCGTACAAAACTCAGCGGCTGTCAAGTGTTATATCAATCCGACCAATGCTGAAATCAAACACGTCTCTGTGTCGTACGCCTCCCAGCTTCTGCAATGTATCAATAGTAAACAAATTTGGCAAGGTTTAAAATTGCTGTGTGGAACCAAATCCAAAACTGCGGAGTGTATAACTGATTTGGACAGTGTTAACGCAGCATTTATCCACCCATCAAACAATGTCGTAACGCCATTTGTTTCGGATGATGCCGTTCAAGTAGAGGCCATTTTGAAAGAACAAACTGTTGAGCATTTGCGTACCGTGAAAACCGCATGCAGTTTTAGTGTCTTGCATTTCTATCTAATTGTATATGATATTATTGTACAACATATTTTAATACGCGCAATAAGTTACAACACAATACAAGACTCTGTTCCTGACTACGTGCTAGTTCTCCGAGTGTCGCTGAAGCATTTCGTATACATCATGAGCTATCGTCAAGCGATCCGTTAACTGTCGCTGCAATCCTTTTCACCGCCACCGCGCATTATCAACCGCAGTCACACTTCCGAGGAACAGAGTCTATCAACCAGTCGGACAATCATTCTGTGAGGCCGTTCCATGTACGTTCCAGTTCATTTTTATTCCACTACACATTGTTGGTCCCGATGATGTTTCATATTCCCTTATGAAATATGGGGCCTATTCTCTAAGTGAAATATTAGTATCATTTTCGAACACTTCCTTAAGAACCTGCTCCATAGCAGACTGTTATTCTCATTCCCAAATCCTCCACGTCGAAAGTTTTAACCAAACGCTTCCGCTTTAACTTTTGTTGGACTTAAACTAGCAGTACGTGTTGTTCTTACATTCAGCCCTCACTTGATGTCCCGTATGATTCTCTTCAGCTTCTGTACAAACCAAACAGTTGCACGCTGGATGCAGTGTCCTCACTTGTACACAAAATTACCAAATCCTTGAATGAATCTGTTCGTTGTTTGTTTCCAAACTTTTCGTCTGCTTTGGATTCTATTTCTCGTTCCCATCTTCTTCGTAAATTTGAGACCTCCAGTCGTTCTAGGTAATTATTAGCGGAGCTTCCTGATCACTTTTCCGGGAGAACTTAATGTACCAGGTCAGATCGCAGGAAATCCAAACCATTGATGAACAATCCTGGGGTACTCCAAGGTGCAATTCTTTGGAGATACTTATTTTCTATGTGTATTAGTGACTTGTCTGCTAGCACCCCTACTTCTCTCGTCAAATACACTGACGATGTGTTTTTATGGCAAGCCATATCCGATTCTTCTGGTCTTTCACAATACTCTGACAACCTGGAAAACGTTCAACAATTTTCGGCCAAAATCAGCCTCTGCTAATCCCCAAAAATGTTTAGGATCTCTCTGTACATTATGACGTTCTTCTTTCCCATCACTACGAGACTGCACCTTGACGTGGCTTGCGTGCCTCAATGACCCTGCCAGCTACACAAGATGGCTCTTCACAGCCGCAGATCCAATCACGCCTGAAAGGTCAATCCGTAGAGGCCAGACAAAGCTCGGTCTCACAAAGCCAGCTGCTTGGGCACCTCCTGGCTTCCTTCGTCTATCGACACCCGCTCCTGGAGAGGCCAATCCAGCAAATAAACACGGTGAGGGGCAGTTTACCGGTCAAAACAACCCCGCTAGTTGGACATAGGAGCGGGGCTTCTTCACGACGGAGGGAGAAGTCTTCGCACTTCACAGGGCAGCTACCGTCCGCCAAAGCTGGGCAGCCCCCGACCAATAAGGTGCTGTCCCGTCCACATTCCGCTTGTCTCATTGGGTGCATGAAGCTAAGGGCCGATCCTGAAAAGCGAACCGACAATCAACGCCCCAACGAACAAAAAACTTAACCGAAACCCGAAGGCCTTGCGTGACAGGTCTCTAAAAGCGCCCACACGGGTGCTTCGTTCACGCTCCCGCGTTGGATCTACGCTCCACTGGCTTGTGGATCAGACTTGAGTCGAAGGCTCCGGTTAGGGTTCGCAAAGAAAAACCCTTCGTCGGTGTGGGCAACCGCGAAATATGTCGTGCCCTAAAGTCTTAGACACCCATTTGGAAAAACCTCTTTCCGATCTGTCTAGTTCTTCCTTTCAATCTCGAGTATTCCCAGACGCCTCCTTTTAACGCAACCCATCGAATATCACTCAGCGCCTGACCAGCAAGGCCAAACAGCCAGAAGTTACAGGATTTTTTAAAGCCAAAATCCCCTTTTAACTTAAGCGCATTCAATGTCCGCACACTCCATCAGATTAGTCAGCAAGCTGCCTTGACTAGAACTCTTGAAACTTTCAATTTAGATGTATGCTGTGTCTCCAAAACACTCATACAAGACCCTACTTCAATCATTTCCCTGCGTTCTCCGAACCCAACCTCGACCTCACGCTTCACTCTCCGTGTGTCAGGCAATTCAGTATCCAAAGCCCGCGGTGTTGCTGGTGTTGGGATTGTGCTGAGTGCCAGGCTGAGTGCTCACTTCTTAACTGGATTCCAGTCAGTAGCCGATCATGCGCTGTACGTCTGAACGGCTCAGTACGGGTCGAAAGCTATAGAACGAAGCGTCGGTGCTTATACGACCGACCGATTGCAGTGCACCTGAAACGAAGAATGAATTCCACATGGATCTCTCCCAACTGCTCCAAAGTGCTCGGTCAACGGACATCGTGGGAGAATTAATGCTCAAGTGGGATCCCTGGACGAATCAGAAAGGCTTCTTGGTGGACCGTATGCAATCCCAGCCAACCAGACGGACAACGGAGATCGCCTACTTAAACTCTGCGCAGACCACGGATTGTATCTGTCAAACAGGATTTTCTCGCACAAGAAACGACACCACCTTACATGGAAACCACCAAGCTCTTCATTGCACTGGGCCCAGAT